AACAAAGAAAATCCCATGCTCAGATGGCTTCATTGTGATTTCTAACGAAGATTTAATGAAAAACAACAATTCTATGTAATCTTTTCTCAACAATATAAGTGGAAAATGGATCATAAACCTAAATGTTAAATTCAAAACTATAAAACTACTAGAGGAGAACAAAAGCAAAATTTCTGTGACCATGTGCTAGACAAATATTTCTTAGATATGGCACTAAAAGCACAATCCATAAAAAACTGATAAATTGGACTTATCAAAATTAAAAACTTCTTTGTGAAATACACTGTTAGTAAAATAAAAAGATAAGCCACGAACAGGGAGAAAATACATGCAAATCATATTTCTGATAAAAGGCTTGTATCCAGAATATGTAATGAACCTTAAAATCTCTATAATTCATAAACAATCCAATTTAAAATTCTGCGAAATATTTGAACACTTCTACAAAGAAGATATATGTATGGCAAATAAGCATATTAAAAGATACTCAACATCATTAGTCACTAGAGAAATACAAATTAAAACCACAATAATAATATACAATTATAAACGTATTAGAATGCCAAACTTTTTTTTTTTTAATCTGACAAATGCTCGTGAGGACGTGAAAGAACTAAAATCTTCAAAGAATATTAATGAGAAAAGAAATTCATTCTTTTGAAAGCAAACTATTTTGAAAACAGTCAAGCAATTTTTTATAGTTACGTGTACACTTACCATATGACCCAGCAATCTCACTCCTAGTTATTTATTCAAGAGAAATGAAAACTTCTTTGCAGAGAAGAACTTGCACACAAATTTTTTTAACAGCTTTATTAATAATAGGCCAGAACTTGAAACATCCCAAATGTCCTTTAATGAATGAATGAATGGATAAACCATGGTAAATTCATTCAGTGGAATACTACTCTGAATAAAAAGGAGGAAACTACTGATACAGACAACATAGATGAATCTCAAATGCATTATGTTAAATAAAAGAAGCTAGTCTCAGGAGAATACATATGTATGATTTCATCGATATGGCATTCTATAAAAGTCAAAATTATAGGAACAGATTAGTGGTTGCCAGGGGCTGAGGTGGCTGGAAGGATTGATTATAAGGAAGTAACATAAAGTAATTTTTTGGAGTGATAGAATTGTTCTGTATCTTGATTGTGGTGATTCCTGACTACAATATATGTTTGCCTTAACACATAAAACTGTACACCAAAAGGTGATTTTTACGGTATGTAAATTTAAAAATGAATAATAACAATGGATAAAAAAGATAATGTTAATAGACATATTGACCATGCTAAAGATATTCAAGGTGTTATATTAACCTAGGCTTAACTCTTTGTAAACACAGAATGCGATACATAGGTGATGTATTATCGAATTGTACACTTGAAACTTATATATAATTTTATTAACCACTGTAACCCCAATAAATAAAATGAAATAAAATAAAATAAAAATAAATGGCTTACACAAACTTCAAATTTTTAATATTGGAAATAATGTATTATATTTGAATTGGTGATGATTTTATGGACTCGTTCCAATTTTAAAATCAGATGTTTCAAGAATGAGTACTTATGAGTAAAATTTTGGTACTTTCCAAATGGTTTAACCAGTTAAATATTACTAGAGCATTATTAGAGTTGATTTTAAGTATGACGTCAAATATATAAAAACAATGTTAGAAATTTATCTGAAATATTTCCATGTGAAAATATAACCTTAGCCCTCTAGAACTTCTAAGGAAGCAATCATTCTGAGAAACTATTTTTCAATTACTTCTGAAGCAATAAATACAAAGTATTTTACTCATTATTCTTCTTGTTTGAATATAATATGCTGAGCATAATTTAATTTCTTCTCCATGGCTCAAGGTCATCATTAAAACACCAAATCCTAAAGCTGAGAGCAGCAACCTGAGAAATCTTATACCTGAGTATGATAAACAAGAGCGCTTAGTTTTATAAATTATATAAATGTCTAACCAATGTACTGTATACTTGAAATTAATAATTAAATAAAATTATATATATGTATATATGTATGTTACAACTGTAACATGCTTTACAATTTAAGAAAAAATAACTTCACATATCCTAAATTATTTGTAACAACTCAGACTGGAAGGTAAAACAAGTCATGTAACCCAATATTTTACAGACTAGAAAATGGATGCCCATAGAAATTAAGTGATTTACCCAACAATTCACAAGAGTTGAGAGTGGGACACAGATTGTCTTATTCCTATGGTTGGCATGTGCTGAATGGGTGGTACAATGTAAAGAGTATTTATCTAGGATGTCTTGGAGTAAAGCCAAATCACTTGTTATTTCAGCACTTAATCCCTTAATTCAGTTACTCTCTCTACTCCAACCCAACAAACTTCAATTTCCATAGAACTAGTGGACTGTCATTTTATCTTCCACATACATAAGAACCCAACTTTTAAAATGAAGATTATTACAACTCTTTTCATGATTTGTGTGCAAATGGTGAAAAACCTTGGCTGTGTAGTCATTCAACATATTGCCACTTAATAGATCAAGATAACTATGGTGGGTGGAGATAATGACAAATGATCTTACTTTATCTAGTTGTTGTGGTAAAGAACTTTGTATAATTTGAAAGAAAAATAGTAGATCTCTTGAACAAAGTTGCCTTCTTGCTGTTGCTACTGAATTTAAGAGAAAAAATATAAAGGCACGGTATTGTCTATTTTTAGAGTTGTTGACTCCAGAAATCTGTTTAGTACTCTTCAGCTGTATTTGGCTATTGTATCAATGGAGAAGAACGTGCTGTGCTTTTTAAGGTTTATATCATACATGGTTAAGTATAACACTTGTAGCCAACCAATAGGAAAACATTCTTATATTATTAAGGCAGGTATGTTCACACTTGGGGATCACCCATATCTTGTACTCTGGGCTTTCTGTATTAGTTACAGCCTGCAGAGAAGGATCAGACCATTATACTGATTATGCATTAATGAATTTAAGTTTACTCGTCTCCTCAGAACTCATTCCAAAGTACCTTGCTTCTAAACCACACCAGATAATCTTCATCGTCTGGCTCCTCTTGTGACTGTAGCTGAACTCTTATGCAAACGAAACCCTAAATTTCTCTGAAAGCTAGCAGCCATGGTAGTAAATATTGCTTTGATGGATATTGTCCTCTGTCCCGAACATCCTTGAAAATTCAGTCAGATTGCAGATAAGAGATTCATATATCTACATTGGTGTATGTGAATGAGATTCCGTTTAGAAAGTTAGTGGAGTTATTTGTTTCTGAATGTTTTGGGGAGAAACTATACTCTCATCTTTCTGCTGCCCTCTCCCATATCCGATTTCTTTCCTTCCTTCCCTCCTTCCTTCCTTCCTTCCTTCCTTCCTTCCTTCCTTCCTTCCTTCCTTCCTTCCTTCCT